GTAGAATCCATTTCACAGCTTGCCAATGTCCTTCTTCAGGATCATGCATGTACCTGCTCACAACTCTAACTGCTTGTGAAATGTCAGGATGCGTACACACCATTGCATACATCAAGCTCCCAACTGCATTAGCATATGGAACTTTTTCCATATACACTCGTTCTTCGTTAGTTTTAGGAGATAATTGAGAACTAAGTTTCAAATGAGAAGCCAATGGGATACTTACATGTTTTGTATTTTCATTCATGCCAAAACATTGTAATACATTTCTCAGATACTGCTTCTGTGTTAAACAAAGCTTCCCTCTCTGTCTATCTCTGCTTATCTCCATACCAAGAATCTTCTTGGCCTCACCTAGATCTTTCATCTCAAACTCTTGATTCAACTGAGCCTTTAATTTGTCTATCTCCTTTTGACTCTTCGAAGCGATCAACATATCGTCAACGTACAAGAGAAGATAAATGAAAGATCCATCTTTGAGCTTTTGCAAATACACACAATGATCATATTTGCTTCTAGTATACTTTTGCCTCCTCATAAAGCTATCAAATCGCTTGTACCACTGCCTCAGATATTGCTTCAATCCATATAGCGATTTGTTCAGCTTACAAACCCATTTCTCATAACCACCATCTTTGTATCCTTCTGGCTGAGTCATATAGATCTCTTCTTCTAAATCACCGTGCAAGAAAGCCGTCTTTACATCAAGTTGAGCTAGCTCCAAATTCAACTGTGCTACCAAGGCCAATAATATTCTAATGGAGGAATGCTTCACAACAGGGGAAAATACTTTATTGTAGTCGATTCCCTCCTTTTGAGTGTAGCCTTTAGCTACCAACCGTGCCTTGTAGCGAATATCTTTCTTGCTATGAGATCCATCTTTATTTGCAAATACCCACTTGCATCCAATTGCTCTTTTACCTTTCGGTAATTGTATCAGTTTCCAAGTGTTGTTCTTTTAGAGAGATTGCATTTCTTCATCCATGACACTTTTCCACTTATTACTTTCCAAGCTTTGTATTTCTTCTTGGTAAGTGATAGGAATATCATCATCAACAACTGAAAGAGCATAGGCCACCATATCAACAAATCGAGCAGGTCTACGAATTTCTCTCCTTGGCCTTGTAACTGTAAGTGGTTCTGGTGTCTCCAATGGTTCTCGGGTTTGAACCTCTTCATCTTCTGATTCTACTATTGGAGTTGAAGAATCAGCTACATCAACTTCTGGGATCATCGTCTGCTGAAACTCCACCTGTTTTGGAGTATGCTCCACCTGCTGCGAAGTACTACTTGTCTGGACAGCTTCATTTGTTACCTTCTTTACAAGGGTAGATTCAACAAAGGTAACATCTCTGCTACAAATTATCTTCTTGGTGTCTAAACACCAAAGGCGGAATCCCTTCACTCCATGGGTAATTCCCGTAAAGAGAGCCTTCTTTACTCTTGGATCAAGCTTGGATTCCTTCACATGATAATAAGCAGTGGATCCAAATACATGTAAGGAATCATAATCAGTAACAGGTTTTCCAGACCATACCTCCAATGGTATTTTTCCTTCTATCGCTGATGACGGCAGACGATTGATGAGATGGCCAACATATGTCACAGTCTCAGCCCAAAATGCCTTGCCTAACCCAGCATTAGACAACATACATCGAACTTTCTCCAATAGTGTTCGATTCATACGCTCTGCCACCCCATTTTGTTGTGTTGTATTTCTAACCGTGAAGTGTCGAACAATACCATACTCATGGCAAACGTCAAAGAATTGGTCACTTTTATATTCCCCTCCATTGTCCGTCCTAAGACGTTTGATCTTTCTACCAGTCTGGTTCTCGATCATATTTTTCCAGTTCAGGAAAATTTGGAGCACTTCATCTTTAGACTTCATCGGATACACCCAAACTCTTCTGGAAAAGTCATCTACAAAAGTTAAAAAATAATGGTTTCCTCCCAAAGACGATGTCTTTGAATGACCCCATACATCTGAGTGAATATAATCCACAATACCTTTTGTATTATATATAGTGGTGCCAAACTTCACTCTCTTCTGTTTTCCCAGAACACAATGCTCGCAAAAGTTTAATTTGCAAGCCTTTGCACCTTTCAACAATCCTTTCTTTGCCAGAATTTGCAAGGATTTCTCTCCAGCATGTCCCAACCGCATATGCCACAACTGGGTTGCATCCAAATCATCACCTCTAGAAGCTGTTGTAACTGCTCCAATAATTGTACTACCTTGGTAGTAATACAAATTATTTTTCCTGATGCCATTCATCATCACCAGTACGCCATATGTGACTTTTAAAACTCCATCTCTCATTGTGACTACTGAGCCTTTGGATTCCAAGGCTCCCAACGAGATGAGATTTTTCTTCAAACTGGGCACGTATCGGATATCTGTCAGAACTCTGGTTGATCCATCTTGATTCTTCAATCGAATTGAACCTATCCCAACAGTTTTACAGGCATTATCATTGCCCATATAAACAACTCCTGCATTTAGTTCTACTAAATCGGAGAACCACTCCCGATTAGGGGACATATGATAAGTGCAACTCGAATCTAATATCCATTCATCTGAATGGAATGTTGTTGATGAAGCAACCAATGATATGTCAAAGTCATTTGCATCATGCTCTGCAACACATGCATCTGGAGCAGCTTTTCCTTTCTTCTTCAACTTCGGACAATCTTTCTTCCAATGGCCTTTCTCATGACAAAAGGCACATTCATCTTTTCCCAGTCTGGACTTCGACTTTGATCTCCCTCTCCACTTTGGCTTTTGACTTTTCGAGCGACCTCTTGCCACCATGGCCTCCGCTGCTTCGTACTTGCTCTTCTTCTTGGTTTTCTTCCTGAGCTCATAACTATACAAAGCAACAGTTACATCTTTAAGGGTAACATTATCCTTACCATGAAGTAACATTGTCTCAAGGTGCTCAAATTCATCTGGAAGAGATGACAACAACATCAAGGCCAAATCCTCATCTTTGAAGGTTTCATCCATGCCCAATAAGTCTGTCACTAGCTCATTGAACGCAGTGATATGTTCATTCATACTAGTGCCTGGTTGATAATCAAATCTGAACAATCTTTTCTTCATGTGGAAACGATTCTGAGAGCTTTTCTTTAGGAATTTTTCATCCAATGCTTTCCACATCTTACTTGCAGAAGTCTCGTTCTTGTAGCCATACTTCTGCTCCCTGGAAAGACAAGATCGAATCGTGTTGCACGCCAAACGATTGATTGTTCCTCCATTCTTTCTCCTCCATATATTCGGGATTTTCTTCCTCAATGGCGATGTCTAGACCTTGTTGGAATAAAGCGTCTAACACCTTGCCTTGCCACATGCCAAAATGACCGGATCCATCGAACAACTCCACCGAGAAATTTGCATTTGGCATCACCCTCCTCACCGGTCCAGATGAAGAGCTTGATGTCTCAACTGATCCGTATTTTGGCATTTTAATTATAACGAACAATATTCAATATCATGAATTGTATCTTTTCAGCAACGGAACCACCAGGATAACCTCAACCGAAGCTCTGATACCAATTATTGGGGAAAATGGGTTATTTCCCACACGAACGTAGTTTTAAAATTGACGTAAAATGTCAAGATTAAAACCACCAAAGGTTGCACAGCGGATAAACCTGTCAAACTATTGAATATTGAAACACAATGGAAAAGAACCGAATAAAAACAATAAAGGAGAGAACACACCAAATTTACGAGGTTCGACGAGAATATCGTCTACTCCTCAAGCACCACACCGGATGATAACTTCACTATATCGTCAATATTACAACAAATGGAATTTTTTAGAATTCCCAAAGTGGGAGAATAAAGAATAGAAGAGGAAGAGAGAACTTGTTTTTGGGATGATTTCTAATAGAAATACTTAGGCCTATTTATAGTTGAGTTTTAAGAACAATATGTTCAAAGTTTGGCCACCTACCAAAGAATTTTCCAATGTGTACAAGTTAGCCACCAAATATGAAATTCACATGTTCAAAGTTTGGCCACCAACTAAGATGAAATTTCCAATAAGTTGGCCACCAATCAAGATGAAATTTCCAACTTGTCAACTTAATTTCTAGACAAATCTAACAGTGTAAACAAAATAAAGTGCCCAAATGGAGCGAGTCTCTAGTCCACTAAAGCTATGGCCAGAGGACTTGACATGGTTGTTGTTGCATCCTTACTCAAACATCAATAACGGGAAAGGGGAAACATATCTTCAATGAGTTTAGAAAAGGAAGTGCAACCATTCATAAAATGATTTTGGAGAGACAAGTAAGAAAGGCATGGGCATAGTAAAGATGGAAGAGAAAAGGCGAGTTTTGAGCAATAAGCATGGTCAAATGATGTCAAACAGTCAACTAATGAGTCACATCAGTATTCCGTTGCTGCAGTAATGACTCTTACTGACCATTGATCGATCTTTTATAAATCGACGATATTAGTGACTGATTTGTTACTTTTGAAATTTCAGTAAGAAAATATATAAATTAAGAGCATCTTTTACTTATCCATTTCATAATTTAAGTAAAGATTAAGCTTGTTGAGTTTGTTAAAAATATAAAAAAGATAAAATTTTCTCCATTAAAATTTTTAATATAATAATTTACCTAATATATAAATAGATACTTTAGTTAAAATGGAATCCCTCAATAACAATGTTTGATGGTATTAAATAATGAACCTATTAATTGGTCTTAATAATTAAGAGAAATTTTATTTTTTTAGAAGTCTTAAGTTCGAGTATTTGTAAGGTATGTGAGCGTCTTCCATGGTTAAAATTTTTATTAATATATATTACCTTATAATCACTCAAATTATAATATATATATATATATAATGGTATTAAATAATATTTTCGTATACACATCAAATCGAGTTAATCCGAAGAGAAGACGGTGAGGAAATTAAGCTTGTAAAATCACATACGTGGCGGAAGACAAAAAACAGTGTCTATAAAACGACCCTTTGTGAAATCAACAAACAAACTACTCCCACACACCACAGTCCCGCTTAGCTAAATCTTGCAGTAAACCAATGGCGTCTTCAACTCTAACCGGTAAGGTCGAGGCCAATGTAGAGATCAAGGCTTCTCCTGAGCAGTTTCACGACATGTTTGCCAACAAACTGCACCACGTTCATCATACTTGCAACGACAAGGTTCGACGATGCGATTTACATGAAGGTGAATGGGGAAAAGTCGGTACCGTTTTCAACTTCCATTACGTTCACGGTATTGTTTCATTTCGTGCTATTAGAATGATTTCTTCCTCTTTTTTTATTCGTTAATCTTGAGAACAATATAATATGGTAAACAAATTCTGTTTGTGCAGACGGAAAGGAGAAAGTCGCAAAGGAGGTGGTTGAAGCAGTAGACCCTGAAAAGAACCTGGTGGTTTTCAGAGTGATCGATGGAGATCTAATGAAAGAGTACAAGAGCTTTTTACTGACGCTTCAAGCTTTTCCCAAGAGCGATGGCAGCATAGTACACTGGAAGATGGAATACGAGAAGTTGCACGATGGGGTTGATCATCCCGAGACTCTACTCCAACTCGGCCTGGATATCTCCAAAGACATCGACGCTCACCTCATCCAAGCTAAGTGAAGGACCCACTGTTGCTACTATGCTACTTTCCTTATATCTATGTATGGAGAATAAATTGACAGCTGCCTTTCTTATGTATAATCTGAATATATATGTTTGGATCGAGATGCTGTCAGGAAGTGAATTTGGTGTTTTCATGTATGTTGTTTTATTATGTCTTGAATTGAATGTATCATGCGCTTCAATATGTGCTTTTAGATTAGAATTTTGTTTCCTATGTTTCCGAAACGCGATAAGAAGTATTTATAAGAAAATTATGGAAAAATAATTATATATTAGAGATTTTTATGTAAGCATGAACATAAACGTAACAATTAAAATCTTATATGTATACCTTCATTTATTGTCTTAATCGAATGGTAAATTTGGAATATGGTTACACCATCGTTGAACACGTTAAATATATTGATGATTCTAATTTGTGGATTAGAGGAAGGTAAAAGAATCATAAACCCTAAATTCAAGTTTAGGGGTGTGTTAATTTTCGTATTTGATTATGATTTTAGTATTATGTGTTAAATTAGTGTGTGATTCTTCTTGAAGCTCGAGAGAATTTGGTGGAAACCTCCAAGACGATGAAGAAATTAAAGTTTCCTTCTTCGTAAATTCTTAGGATTTGTTTTTGTTCGGCAATATGATTTTATTATAAAACGAATAATTTCTACCTTGATTGTATGTATCATCGGTCTCCAATAATTTCTACCTTGATTGTATGTCTCATGAACTTTCTTGAAAAGTCCTGTTCTTCTCTTTGACAATGTCACTTGCCTCGCGGTAGTGTTATCGATCTTCTTGATCTCAATCTTTTTTCTCTTCAAAATGGACAAAGAATTTATCTAAAGCTAGAAGGAATAGGGTTCAACACTTGAAGAAGCAACCACCCACAAGGCCATGAACAGCTAATATCCTCAAACTGAGACAGAAAATAACCTATCACTTAAGATGAAAATCCTAGGAGAGCATGGCAACATCCGATGAAAGCAGCAGCAGCAACTTGCCATAACCCACATTTGCACAAGAGAAGAAAAAAGAACAACGTACTAACGATCCATCAGCTACAAGGTCGTCGAAGACTCCCTCAGAACACAAACATTAACATCAGAATATCATGACCCTTCATTCTAATTCAGTGAAAGAAAGAAAGAAAGAAATGATAATTGAGCATACATCCTGGCCATAAATTTACTTTGCAATTAAAACATCACCACCTTTCGCACATGCCATCAAATCATGGACAATGAATAACCCAGTTAAACACATGCAAAACTTATGCATTTTTCAGCACCGTAACAAACCCCACTTAAACACATGCTTCGACCAAAACCATTCTCTCCTTGGAGAACCGAGCTGCTGAATATAACTTAAACTTCAAAAGGCTCCCCTAATGATGGCATGTATAACTATGGTATTTTGAGTCTTTGGAAAAGTTTATGGTAGTGTTGACATGTATATACATATATATGTGTGTATGTATAAGTATTATATTATGTTTAGTATATGTTATCTTGTTAAAATTATGGTCTTCATGTTTCGATATGGTCAGATATATATAATTCTAAGAAATCATGGTAAATTAGTGTAGTTCATAGAAATTCCTTAATTTGTATTTTTAAAATATAAAAATGAGTTATAGATGAGGAAATACACGGTAAGTAAAAGTTTAGGAGTCTAAAATAAGAGAAAAGTTAATTACATTTGATCATTTCTAAAAACATCTATATTAGTTAGTTTAAAAAGGTTAGTATCCATTTACACAATGTAAAACTCTTTAATTTTATATAAATTTATGACTGTTAGATGAGTGAAAATAGATTGTTGAAATCGATTCCTTATTTTTTTCCGAATGAATATCTTCTCATTTTCTACTGTTAATCTTAGTTATCTATTTTCATTCATCAAACGATCCTAAATCTGTGTAAAATAAAATAGTTTTACATTATGTAGCATGATTATTTTAATGTTGTTTATTTGTATTTTGATCAACAGTTAATAAACTTTATCTGTTAATTTTATTACTAAGTCAAGCATGTCCCATAGGGAATTGTTTGATTTTTGTTTGATCTTAATTTCTATCACCTGAAGTAGTTAAGATCACACGACAAATTGTCGTGGGAGTTGTTGCATCGGTTGAGTTCTTCATCACATGGCTATTTAAATATTATGGAGATCTTCTATAATATATATTATTTATCGACATCTCAAATCATGTGATTCATGTCATGGTAACTAAATGGACGGTCTAATTATTAATTAATTTATCTCTATCAATCCTTTATATGTTTTGTATAATATTTTAAATAAAATAACTTAGCTACCATTTTTTTAGATAAAATCAACTTTGTTAAAAACTAATGTTCCTTTTTAAAAATTATCATTCATTTAAAAAGTATGTGTATTCTGTTAATTTTTGTTTTATTTAACTCATAGATATGATATGATAAAATTAAATTTTTAATTTATAATAAAATATTTAATTGAATTAATTATTACTTCATTTTTAAAAACTAATTCCTTTTAAAATATATAATTAAATTATAAAATAATTATATTATTTGATAACGATAAATTGTAAACTTTATAAACATAGATAATTTGATTCAGTGACGGAGGGTCGTACTCGTACACATGCATTAATAACACAAAAAAATTTTATTGAGTGAGCACAAATAAAATTTTTATGATAAACGCAATTAATAAAATAAATAATTAATTGAGAAAATTTTAAATTTTAGAGCTAAGGATAAGGATGAATCCACCACTGATCTCACCTCTAATATTGATTCCCACCCGTGTTGATATTGTTTAATTTTTTTTATTTTTTTTATTTTTTTTATTCCCTTTCTTTATTTTTCTAATATTTATATTTAAAAAAATTAAAATGATAAGATTTAAAAAAAAATTATCTTTATTTTAGAAGAAGTTTGGTCATATATCCACTGTATCCCCAAACAAATCTATTTATTTTATTGACAAAATAAAAATAATCAATGTGCTCGACAGCATAGGCTGTCTATTAGTCAAATATCTTTCAAAAGAAAATAAATTTATCTCCTCTATTTGCAAATAGATATTATTATATATTTATTTTATTTACAAGAAAAATCTACTTACATGACTTCTATATATATTTTTATACATTTTTGCACTGTTAATATCTTAATAATGTAACTGTTAAATTTAATTTCATACTTATATAGATTATATATGTTAAATTTTAAATAAACTAAAAGTATCTAATTATTTATTTTGTGTAAAAAATTGAATTGTTAAATATATATTAATAAAAATAATATTTTAGATCAACATGATATAGATATCTGATTAATTCAAAATTTCGTATACATAATAAATATAAGTGAATTATAAAAATATGAATTATAAAAAAAATATGTGAAATTGATTAATTCAAAAAAAAAAAATTGGCAAACAAAAAGATATATTTAGATGTTATGTGTCAACATTATCATATTCTCTACTAACAAGTCGCCCTCTCACATTCAGATGTAAAATTAACAGTAGAACATATCAAGTCAAGTTCTTACATATTATGATTGAAATTTTGTTTTTTCACCTCTTGTGTCGTTCACCCTACAGAAGGTGTATTTATAAACTTTAAATTTGCATATGAAAATGTAAAACAATATTATTTTTTATTAAGTAGAAAGAGATTACATTTTCAAGATAAATATCAGGATTCGAATCCATGTGATATAGGACAATATAAACATCCTTTTAACTATTCAATTATTTAAAATGTCTGGTGGTATCGTAGCCCATCCTTCAATAAAAAAACAAGCCTAAATGCTTCAAGAATTGAAGCCAACCTTTCGCCATGGCTCAGACCATGGCCTGTATTTTTTTGTCATCTTAAATTTAAATTTGAAAGAAAATTTATAGCTGAAATCGTAATTATTCTTCCCTATAATGTCCATCTGAAATTGTCTGCACTAATTACGTTACTAGAAAAGCTGTACAAAAAGAAAGAAAAAGAGTGGAACATTTGTAGACAAGAGATCAAACAAAAGCCCTTGAAAAACGACTGCTCTTTGTCCCCTGCATGAGAGTTTCAAGACAAGTACAGATTGAGATACATATCTGAAACAGACCAATGACTAGAAATGATTGAAAGAAGGAAATTCTTGAAATCGAAAAGAGTTTTACATGAAAAACTCGGACCCTGATCTGACAAAATGTACACCAATTTCCTTCCTGCCTTGACACTTCTTAAGATTCAAACTGCAACTACTTTACAAACAAGAACAAAACCAGGGTGTGAAAGAATAGTGTTGTTATACCAACAGCCTTGTTAGATACAGCAGCTGTGACCACAATCATGAAACAATCTCTGGTTAACGACGGGATTACCGCTCAAATCGCAAAATTGTCTATTTCCCATTCTCGAGCATCATATCCAAAAAGATGCCACTCCCCCCCCCCCCTTTCAATCAACTCAATCCCAATGAAGTAATGAATAGATCAATGTGACCTCTGGGGAAAAAATCCTCAAAGCTCCCAAAACCGATTGTCCTCTTGCAACATGAAGATGATAACAAAATGAAAATGTTACGACACAAAAATGGGGGTTAGCAGCTAGTTGTTATCACTAAATTATGCAGGTACAAGAAATGCTCATCAAAATCTCTCTCAAAGCTGATCATGTTGGCAATGAGGATCTTGAGTCTGCTGATTTGTTTGTACGACACATGCAATCAGGGCATGGAAAAGTAAATATTGAATCACTTGGCCTTTTTAGCTCAAATCCCTTTGAGTCACTATGAGACCGCATATTCAGCATTTGTCGCTTGAAACTCTTCCACCTGGAATAAAAAGGAATGTGAATGGGATCCAGCAATTCTTATTCAAAGTACTACAAATATGAAGCAACTGCAAGACTAGAAAATACGATAGTTGTTTCAATATGCATTTCTTCATTCTTATCTAACTGCCAATGTTTCCAAAACTTACAAACTTTCAATAGATACTTCTAAGAATTTTTCTTTCTAAACTATGGCAACCATTAAACTTAAAGGAGAAACTAATCCTTGTTATGGTCCGAATCCTAATAGAGATTGCATATCTGCCAATCATTTTCACCCTCCTTTTTTTCTCCCACTAAATGAATCATTTTGATCCTTCAAGAAAAACAGGCAACTAGAAATATAGATAGATTAAAAATAAGATAATG